GTGGCCCAGATTTGGGTTTTGTTTGGCAAAGCGACAATAGATCTGTTTGCCTCCAGAGCAAACACACACTGTCCTCTGTTCTTTTCCATGACAGAGTAGAGCGCTCCTCTGGGAGTGGATGCCCTAGCTCATCCTTGGCCCGATGTACTTCTGTATGCGTTTCCCCCAGTGGAAATGATACCACTTGTAGTAGAGAGGGTGCGCGGTCAGAGCCTGTCTTTSATCCTAGTGGCACCCCGCTGGCCAGCGAAGTCTTGGTATGCCGGGATAATCAGCTTGCTAGCAGCTCAACCCTGGCAACTTCTGGTTCGGTGAGATCTCTTCTCTCAGGCAGAGGGGGGGATTTTTCACCCACACCCAGAACTATGGAAGCTGCATGCTTACCTGCTGAAAGGTCCAGCTTATTAGCCAAAGGCCTTTCTCCAGCAGTAATAGCAACTATCCAAAATGCAGGAGCTTCATCCACTAGAGGATTATATTCCTATAAGTGGCAAACTTTTGAGCGATGGTGTAAGAATGGGCACCTGGACCCTTTTCAGTGCACAATATGTATGCAACATGTACTTTTCCTCACCCAGGAGACATTTCAATATAACAAATCAACTCACTTAACAAACCTCTTGATATTGTCACTACCTACAGTAKAAATATCTTGGAATTATTTTGGATTTTCATTTGACTTATCGTGATCATGTACAAGTCTTAACCACTAAGTTGAAACAGAAATTATATGTTTATTCAAAAACTAGATCCAATCTGACATCTTCTGTTTGAAATATCTATCTTCATGCCATTATACTCTCAACCATGTCGTAATGTTTACTTGTTTGGTCTCTTACAACAGGGCCTACAAAATTCATAAAAAACTTCCTGGTTGGACTCATCACTGTACAGTTCTTTCATTGTCTGATGCCTTGACTTTTCAGAATTATGTTTTGTATAGTGGTATTAATTTATATTTTCAGATCTTCCAAGGTGCCAGTTATGGAAATCTCTGTGCATTGTTGCCCAATCAAATTCTGGAAGTGGTCGTTCAACTAGATCTGTTACAAAAGGACAACTGATATTACCAACTTTTAAAAACTGTTACGGCCAGAGGTCTTTCTTCTATGTTTATACTAAAGCAT